CACAGAATCATAAGCAGAAATCACAACATTTGCTTGAGCTACACAATATGGAACAATTTGTTTGCAGTTGAATTAGAAGAACCGACCAGCATGAGTACACCTAAGTAGCTCCACCCTTGCGTGAACACATACGATACTAGCTGCCTAGCTCTTTGCTATAGTAGTACTCCCTCCGTTCCATAATGTAGTGCCTATAGATTTTTTTTAAAGTCAAACCTCACAAACTTTGACCAAGTTTGTGGAGAAAAATATTTACATCTAGAGTGCGAAACATATATCACTAGATTCATCATAAGATGTAGTTTCACATTATATATTTTTGGTATTGTAAATATAAATATTTTTCTCTACAAACTTGGTCAAAGTTTGTAAAGTTTGACTTCTCAAAAAATCTATAGGCACTACATTATGGAACGGAGGGAGTACTAGATAGCTGTTCCGTGAGAAACTCGACTGTGGAGCATCTATTTCGCAAGCATTCTTGGGAACATCACTAATTCGACAGCATTTAATCACTTCACAGATTTAGAGCAGGAAAAGTTACTCCCCCTACCTCTACTCCCTATTCCAGAAAATAAAAGAAAATGCTAAGTAAATGCCATACACACAACCGCAGATTTGCTGTGCGGGTGGCCAGGCATTAAACTACGCCGAGAGCACCTCGTCCTAAACACACTAGCGAGCGCCTCACCTCGGTTCCCTTCGGCGTCGCTGGATCTGAAGCGTGCCGATCCGGCTTTCCCCTCAACGCCGGGCCCGCGGCCTGGTTGCCGCGCCGCCGGGGGCGGGAGCTGAGAGACGGCGCGCGCGAGTCCGCCCCGCTTGCCGCCGGCCGCGAGCGCGGTGCAGTGGGGTGGGGCGGGGTGGGGCGGGGCGAGCGCTAGTGCGCCGAGCTGGGGGGATTAGGGTTGGCGAGCAGTAGCAGCAGGTGAGGTGGTGGAGTGAGGGGATGCGGCTGTCTCGTGTGTCAGTGTGTGTACACGCCCGCCCACACGGTGCGGTGGAAGAGAGAGAGAGGAGAGAAGGAGAGCGACAGTGGCCGATACGGGCGTGTCACGGGCTCACGGCCTGCCGCCGAGACGTGGGCCGGCCTGAAGCGCGTCGGGCTGGGCCATGTGTGCGACTGCTGCACACCCCAAAAAACTTGTTCTACAAAAATAAAAAATGAAGGGGGAATGCGTGCTGCACACTGTAAGTTTTTTTAATTGTTATTTATTATTATACCGCAGCAACTCCGCCTATGTTGTCTCATCATGACCGATTCAAAGCCCGGGTAAAGGAGGAGGGCTGTTGAAGATGAAACCCAAAAGATTTTCGCTATTATTATTAGAGTACTCTTGTTATTATTATACCGCAGCGAGGTGGAGCTTAGATTGCTTGGGCTCTCATGAATTCTTTTGATTAACTTTTTTTGGTGACGATCACCTCAAAAGGCCACTAAGAAAATCCTCAAAACAAAAGGTTTGCAAACTTCTTATAAAGCAAATAGGGTGTATTGAATGCCCCTCGGAAAAAAAGAATGAACGAATGCATTTAAAGGAAAAAGCGAAGATCGGAGAATGCAAAATGGTCTGAGGTTAAGCGCACGAAAGAAGGTGATAAGACATTTGATGAGCCACTCATGATTGGTTCATTTTGCTACGAGGAACGCTCAATGTATCGGTTGGTGATCAATTTTCTTCTACATGCCCCGACGAACTTCTTAGGAACGATTGTAACGACTTTGTAGAAAATTTCTCCCTTCGTTTCATTTTATTTTATTTTGAAAATTAGGGTATACCCCAACCTCATCGAGATTGACACATCTACCCAAGTTTTTTTTCATTATTATTGTGAAGTAGAAATTCCATCACTCATTTCCTTTCGTTCCCCTGGCTGATGTGAACTTATCTCCGCCAGGCTCCATCTGCAAGCCCATGGATTCGTCCCCCCTCTGCTTGCCACTCCAACAGCTGGGACAGGGAGGACAATCCCGATGCCCCGGCTACAACTAGTTGTTCAGGTGGGTTTTTTAGTCCTTGCAAGGGATGATGTTCAAATGGACGATGATGCTTCTTCCTTGAGCTGGACTTTCAGGCTTTGATCCTCCTTGGTTTTGCCTTGCTGTGGCAGGAGGTTAGATTTCCTCGCCGTGCGCATGCGCGGGTGATATCTAGTGTTAGATGGTTCTGGACGATTCAAAGGTTCAACGGTTGTGATTGCGGTTCCAGGAAGCTGGCTCTAAGGGGATACGTACACAAAGACTTTTCGACAAGGTATAGCTGGCTCTGATAGAGAAGATGCGACAACGAAGCGTCGACAGCTCGTTTCGACGGCGGTAGTGGTTGTTCGATGGTTTAGGACCGTGGAGTAATTTTTGAAGTGCCGAGATTGTTCATTACTCCCTCCGTTCCACAATGTAGCGCATATAGATTTTTCTAGAAGTCAAACTTTATAAACTTTGACTGAGTTTGTAGAGAAAATCATATACATCTAGAATACCAAATACGTGTGCTTAGATACATCACAACACATACTTTCATATTATATACATTTGGTATTGTAGATATAAATAGTTTTTCTCTATAAACTTGGTCAAAGTTTATAAAGTTTGACTTTGTAGAAAATCTATATGCACTACATTATGGAACGGAGGGAGTACCAGATAGTGCCATGGCCTCCGTATGCCTCGACTAGTTCCGACGTGACGTGGTGTTGATGCGGATCAGCCGGTCGACTGGACGTTTCATCTCCAAACTGTAGCCGTAACGAACGCAAGACGTAGGAGTACTACAACAATAACCGGCACGCAATGGGTCGGGCTAGCAGCCAGCTAGGTACGCCGTCACGACTCCCGACCAACATCCGGAGAACACTATCATGATGCCAGCAGCACCAGCAAACCGCGGGGGTACGTCGACCCGGCGGGACGGACGTGTATGACTGTGAGGGTGCTCTCGAGCTACCACCGGCTGCGTGGGCTGTGGCCAACGGCAGCGATCGCCTTGTCCTGTCGCCGAGCTCCCGGGCTTGCGGGGGCGTTCGTCTTCGACCGCTCGCTCCCTCCCCCGTCGTCGCCCCATGTGGGCGCGCGGCCGCTGGTCCCGGCCGAACCGACGCATCCCCAACACCCATACACGCAGGCCCCCGCCGCGCCGTCACTCTCGCTTGGCCTCTTGCGACGACACGATCCACCCCGATCTCCTTGGCACTAGATACCAAGCACGGCGAACTGCCTGTCTGCCCCCCCGAAAGAAAATCCATCGCACTAGCACACATACAGGTCGACACACTTCAAAGCGATCCATGGACCGATCGAGTCCAGCCCACCGGCCGGCGTAGCCAAATGATTACCACCACTGATCACAGGTGTAGATGTCTTCATAAGTATACAAGAGGACGTGCACTTCACTCAAGCCGTCACTAACACCGATTATGTACTACAGCTGGAGACCGAACTCAATCGACCGGATTTTTGGCGATAACGAAATCTTCTATGGCGCTGCCGTGGCCTGGCTGGGCCATATATGCGCACGGGACCATCCCACGGGCGACGGGTCCATTCTATTTTTGCACCGTGAGAGGCGAAGTTGCTGCTGGAATGTTCACGTTTACATGCGCATTGTCTCTCTCGGTCTCTGATGGGTAGCGCTCGGGCGGACTGTTCTACGTGCCCTTGGAGAGCTGTCGCCGACTCGCCGGTCGGGAGCCGGGGAGATACGACAACCCGGTTTCCATCCGATCACATTATTGGCCCCGGCCGGCGCATGTCGGGAGGGGTAGCCCATGTATGGGCGGTGAACGGTCCATGTCGGGTATCCTCTCTCTCTCTCTCTCTCTCCCGCCTAATTGCATGCCACAATGATATTACTCTGCAAGTTCGATGCCTGTGCGTATCTACTGTCATTTGGAAGATTGCAGAGATAGATTGCACCGTATTGTCCGTATGGAACGGTCTACATGTGTCTTACTCCTGGCTGACTGGAGTACGTCTTACCCTGGCTGACTGGACGACCTAGAAGATAACGAATCAACTGTGCAGCTATATGTTTGACTCGGCGACTTGGACATGGTCGTTCGGCTTGACCTGATCGATATCAGCAGCCTACAGCTGGTTTGAATGAGTTTAGTAATGCGTCTTGCCGGGGCAAACACATGAGTTTGCTCAAACGAATCACAATAATCAAGTAATTAAGTTGATGTTTGTTGACCTAACGCATGGGGTCTGTCTGCCCTGATGCATGCATACATATTAACATATATAATACGCACATAATCATGGCAATTAGAAGGGGAGGACAGAAGTGCGTATCTTCCTTAACAATTTCCTTTGAACCGAATCTCGTCCTTAGCAATGGGCACAGTGACAGTGACGGGTAGCTTCATCACAAGGTTAACGTACGTGCTTGTTCAAAATGCTTCACAAGGTTAAACCACCTTGGAGCACACTTCATCATACTTTCTTCATAACGTATACGCTATACACTCAAGTGCCATATGCATATAGGATGTACACTAGAAGCCGATCTTTTTGCCGGCCTACACGGCATCCTGCCGTCCCTGGATGGATTTCTTGCAGTAGAGGATGGCGTCGCTGACGGCGGTGTCGGCGTGGCCGTGGCACCAGTACTCCGTGGCGCTCACGTAGCTGGACGTGGACTGCCGCGCCGGGGACGACGTCGCCGCGGCGGAGGCGGCAGCCCTGGACGACGACCGCGGCGCGAGCGCACGCACCGGCAGCGCCCTCACCTTCCGGCACAGCGGCGCCAGGAGGCGCAGGTACCGGAGCAGTATCCTCCGCGTCGCCACCAGCGGCGCTGGCGCGTGCTGGCCACGACGGCGCGAGCTGGCCGCGGAGGCCGGCGTGCTCTGCGCGGAGTAGAAAGCAGGCGACGACGCGTTGGTGTAGGAGTAGGACACGATGCTCGGCTCGTACGGGAGGAGGGGCTGTCCGGCGCCGACGAGCAGCGGGGAGAAGCACTGCGCGCCGGCGCACGTCAGCTGGCCAAAGTCGAACTCGGCAGCCTCCTCGTCATCGTCCGCCGGCGCTGCGGCGGAGGACGTCCACCGCATGGAGAAGAGCTCCGCGGGGTCCATGTCGATGAAGGGCGTGGAGCTGTTGAAGGAGCACCCGAGCCCAGCGTCGGCGTCGGCGTCGAGACGCTCGATGGACGCCCTGCAGCCCAGCCACGCGCGGGAGAAGCTGTCGCTGCGAGACGGCGAGGCCTCCATAGACGCACCTAGTTGACGGTGCGCGAGGGAGAGGCTTGGATCAGTGTGCGCGTGAGTGAGGACTCAGAGGTAGCTGCGTGCGTGGGAACCGAGGCGAGCGCGGGAAGTGAGTGGCCCGGCGAGGAAGATAATATAAGGGCGGGCGAGGGGGGTGGCTGTGTGGGAAAAGAGAAGAAACAAGCAGACCGGTTGACGTCTCTGAAACGAGGCGTTTGGTGCCGTGTCCCCTTCTTTTTCTGTTCCAACGGAGAGGCTAAAAAAGGCCTGCAATTCCACACCATGTAGGAGTGCCTTTCACTGTTCCAGGGCACGGAGCAGACTGTTGCCTTTGCAAAATTTCATCCAAATATGCTCGAGAATTATACTGTACATTTTGCATCGTACTACAGTGGATATAGACCTTGGCCCTGTTTGGATACTCTAACACAGTTAGAGTTAGAGTTATTTTCTAACCCACTCTAACCCAAATAAGCACCTCTCCATCGGGATAGTTGGGTTAGATAGAACTAACCCACTCTAACCCTCCCTGTTTGGATACTTTTGGATTATTTGAGCCTCCAACTAACCCAAACTAGCTCTAACCCCATAATCCAAACAGGGCCAAAGTGATGATCATCATTCGCATTTGCATCATCTAAAACTACACACCGACCAAACTGTAAGGACGTGTCACACGTAGGTTGCTCTAAATTTCGTCATTTGCAAATCCTGTTACCCTACCTCCGCTCACAAATATAAGATGTTTTTAATAATATTTCAATATAAACTGCATACGGATCAAAATGAGTGAACAAATACACTAAAACATGACGATATACATCCGATTTAGAAAAAAAGTTAGAACATCTTACATTTGTGTGCCATGTACTGTACTACTCTGTGTTGACACTTGTCGTGCTGCAGACCTTGCAGTGGGAAAGACAAATAACAAAATGAATGTTATATCTATTTCAGTCCCAAAAGACCTGTCAAAGACAAGCTCTTGGATGCAGCCAGCAATAATAGGGGATTAGTCGGGTGGGTGAGGTAATCGGGACAAAAGAGTGTTCCCGCAGAGAGGAGAGCATCTCCCTAACATGTTGCCATATGCGGTCGAGCTAGCTAGTTCCAGAATCTACATGGAACAATGCTCAATGTTTTCAGACCATAAATCTAACCAAGTGCGAACAATCTGTTAACACTATCTACCACTAACAATTTTGGGGGAAATATTCTATGGTTTTCTTTCCGAGCAAACATGACAGAAACCCACCAACCAACCAAGAGGCAGGAGCCATTGGCCTTCACATGCGAGCTCGCCCCAGTGATCCTCCTCATGTCGCCTCGGCCGAGTACCGCCCTGCAATATTCAAACCACGGAGCATGAGACGTGTAGGCTGACGGGGGAAGCAAGCACAGATTCTCAAGGGAGCTTTCGATGGCGTCCCACGAACCTGGTCCTGAGACAGAAGAAGAACAAAGCTCAACGCCCTCAAAAGAGGCGGGGGACAACGGTCCGATGGCGTACGGTGTGCCATTTTGTTATTCAGCGGCGAGCTCAGTCGGTGAAACAAAAACCACATGGCGAACCCAGCGTGATGATTAAGCGTAGAGTATTTTGTGATGTGATGTGATGGACTAAAGGTGTGCAGGTCTAGGCTGCCCCGGAGCCAGAAGGAACCAAACCGGCCTGAATGTACAGTTTGGTGCGTGTCTGTCTGCATGATGTGTGCGCCGTCGCGCCACAAAGAGACCCTTGTTGGAAACTGAGCTGTTAAAGAAAGGTGTGGAGAAGAAGGCTGAAAAGCATTTCTGCCCATGATTAAAGGAGATACTTGGTCCAGGAGATCTACTACTGTATATATTGTCTTTGACGATTTGTTGTTCTTTGACGCTTTGTTTATGCTTCGGGCTGGAACATGTGTGGACTTTGCGCCTGCTCAGAAATCATTGCACGTTTTGTGGAAATTATATGGATGGATAACATAAGTTGAAGAGCTCCTTACTTTCTTGAAATACCAGATTGTACTCTTTTAGGTAAGGGGAAATTTTATGGATGGATAACATAAGTTGAACGCTTACTGTTTCCTAAGCATCCCAGCTGTGGACTATGTTGGTTTAACAGTAGAGTAGAGACCGATGTTGTTTACTTACTACAAGCATCCCAGTTGGCAAATACAATCCTAAACAATTTTAAAGACGGAGTACCCATGGTAACTGTTATGAAAGCTGAGCAGAATACAAGGAGTCTCTAAATGAAGAAGAAAACAACACATCTAATACAACATGTATAAGGCATCCCCATTGTAATGATTAAATAGGTGTAATAATGATCAAGTAGGAAAACTAACATAGTGACATAACATGTAATGAGTGACGACACGTCATATTCTCTAAATGGGATTTAATGACTGACGACAAGTCAAAAACTGTAACGAAACCTGAGCAGTATAAAAGTAGCCTCTAAATGAAGAAGAAAAGGTGTCGACGACAACTTCTAGCATATGTAATACTCCCTCCCTAAAAGAAATATAAGAGCATTTAGATCACTATTATATTTCTTTACAGAGGGAGTACAATGTATGATGCATCCCCATTGTAATGATTAAATAGGTGATAATGATCAAGTAGGAAAACAGGGTGATACCGTCATATTCTCAGCCTTTGATTTCTACACTAAAGCCTGTGCAATGGCATCTTAGCAAACTTTCAAAAAGTACTTCTGTAATAAGAACAAAACAAGAAACCGACAAAGTGAATAATTCGACGATGACGCCATTATGTGCTCTAGCACAACAAATATGCCACGAGATGTGAGACTTGCAGCATCCGGCAGCTATCTACATGACTTTATGGTAGGCAATGCAAAAATGACACCTAAGGTTTGGAGACATGAATGACTACTGATGCTGGTTCGCCACTGATCCGTGTTCCAAAACTTGACAACAAATTGGACAGAACAACTACATATGAATTGTGCCGACCAGGCAGCCATGTAAATTCGTGATATATGACAGATTCTGAGCTTGTTGTCATACTTCGTCGAGCAATCGAGTACATTCTGTCCCCACAAATCCTAGCTTTTCCAGGAGCAAAGATTTGCAGAACATTTACTCAAGTACCTTGCATTAGTATTCACTATTCAGAATAATGACCCTCAAGAAATCATATACATGGATGCTAGAGCTGGCACGATGTCCAGGCAGCAAACTAACTCAAATAGCAACATAAATAAATAAAAGTAAATGTTACTTGCATGTTTCCAACTAAGTGCACTTCCAAGATTGTAAGACGGATAAATAGCACTGAAGTCGAAATAGGCATAGATGAGATTTCATCAGATGCTACTCCCCAAATATACTGGAATAACCATGTAGATATTCTAGTTGAGACAACAGATGAGTAAAAGCCTGATGCTTACAATGCTGACAGAGATCACATATAACAGATCGTTGAGCAATTATGAAATTTTTCTAGAGTTTCTTAAATCTAAGTAAATTCAGAGATATCACAGCAAAATGGCTTATTAAAACGAAATGGTTATTCAATCCTTGCTGTATAATGTATATACTGTTCTACTTTCTAGTGTATAAATGTAAGCACTGCACTGGTACTGATACATGCCCATTTGGAGAAAATCCCCTTGACTAAGAGGGTTCCAATCTTACAAAGCAGTGACAGCACCACATTTCTTACCACCAGAATCAGTTTGCACAAAGTGAAAAACAAAATTGCCATGTATGGTTGGTGACAACATAAAAAAACATCCAAAATGCATCCTATTCAACTCCAGGATGTAACAACATAAAATGATCTTTTACGCCACATGATTTCAGAGGCAAGTGACCTTCCAATTTCAGAAGAGCTGAATAAACCAACTGTGACACGATTCAGTTGGGCAAGTATATGGGGTGGGCTGAAGATCAGCTGCATAGACCAGCATTAGCTAGATAACTAGATTGGAAAATGGTTTCTCCATTAAGACTTAACTGTTACTTGGCAATGGTGATTAGTGCAAACTGTTGTACAAATCCAGTGAACTGTGAAATGTTACACCTTTAGTCTGTCTAACTTAATAAAGCTAGAGTATTACAACTGCAACCAACATAATAGGGCACTGTTCACATGCGCTGACTAAGTTCACTTCAAAGCTTCTTATCAGATTGTTCTCCAGTGCTTTTCAAGTCATCTGGGTTAAGTCTTGGTCTCTTTGTGCTACAGCCATCATTCTCCAGAGACTTCAACTTGTTTTTTATCGCAGATATCTTTGCAGCACGATCAGTTTGTGCTGATTTGCTTCCTGAACCACCTGCCAGTTTCTTATCTTTCAGCGCTCTTTGTGAATTACCGGAATCTAGGAAGCACTTCTCGCTCGCCAGGTGAACCACCACAGGACGTCCACAGACCAACTTGCCATTCATCTTCTCCTTTGCCAACTGAGCTTCCTGCATGCTCACTTCAGGTGGCAAAGGTGAGAATTACCAGGACCCATCAATGTTTGCAACAAGTAATGAATATTACTCGTACCTCTTTGGTAGTGTACTGAACAAAGGCATAACCACGAGGCTCGCCTCGCTTCGGGCCACGCGTATGCAACAGGAAATCCTCAGCTATGATCTTTCCATAGGGGGAAAACATCTTGATAACGTCAGACCTGGAGAATCACACTATAATGTTGGATTACACATAACACCAGGCCGACCTTGGAAGGAAGATGCGCTAGAGAAAAACTCACTCTGATATCCTGAAATCCAGATTGCCCACATAGAGCCTACTCGCCGACTTATCGCTGTCAAGACCCTTGGGATCCTGCAAAATAAGTTGGTTAAACACAACCTGTAGACATGCTGCACAATCACCTGTAGCCCCTTTCTAATCAAGACTCACTTACCATTGCCACTTGAAGAAGAAATCGTTGTGTACACGATTCAGCGCCAATTTCAGAAAATGGATCTTCGGCTGCAGAGAGCAAAGAGGACATCCAATCAGATGCGCGAATTCGGTCAATTTACCAGAGCGGTATGTACTCTTAGAACAGATTCTCTACAGTACCGCAAACATCAGACATGCACCCAGATATAGGTATCGCCTACAGGATTCGCTGGTCGCGATTACTAACATCGAACTACCAACATCAGAGCGTGCGCGAAGAGTGCCCGCGTGAGGTCTAGATCTATCTGGACAGAGAGCGCGAGAACTGGGGACCGAGATAGGCGGGAGGCCGGGCGGGCAAGCCGGAAGAGCTTACCGGCAGCGCGGGGGCGATGAGAGCGTGCAGGGACCGCGTTGCTCCGGCGAAGAATTCGCGCAGCGATGAGCCGATGAAGCACGGGGCGGGCGGGCGGGCGGGGCGGCGGCGGCGGACCGGAACAGTTTTTTCTTTTCCAGAACGGAGCAGAACAACTGTACAGCAAACGGGGAGTGATCGGGTTTGGGTCATCTGTAGCTGGGCCAAGCCGCAAATGCCGCTGCTCGCCCCCGACGTGGGCCGGCCCCGCAGCGGGCGGGCTAAGCCGGTTTTCCGTCGTTTTTTCCCTTCTGGTCTCAGCTTTCCTGCGGTTTTCTGTTTGGTTTCCCCAGAAACTCGGTTCTTAGGCCTCCTTTGGTTTGTAGGAATTTTGTAGGAACTCTATAGGATAGGATTTGCAACGGAAAAATTTCTTTGAAGCCCTTTGGTTTATAGGAATGGATTCCTATTCCTATGTAGGATAGGAATCAATCCTTCACATTTTGGAGGAAAAAAAACATTAGCCTAGACTCAATGGAAAAAAATCCTATCCTATGCACCAAATGACATCTCTTTCTTTATAGGAAATGAGATGCATGTCATCTCACTTCCTATGTTTTTCCTATTCCTATAAAATTCCTATCCTATAAACCAAAGTAGGCCTTAGTGTTTTTTCTTCGGCTCTTTTTTTTCGCGTTTTTTTTCTCATTTTGTTTTCTTTTTAAAATAATTGCATAATTTCGTATATATAAGAGAGTGATCCCACTTGTCGACATGTGATCGTCGAGATCAGTGGAGACCCCCTTTAGTTGTTCGGTCAAGGGCTAAAATGCTCATACATTCTCACAGCTTCCTTACACCTAGCAGTTACCCAGATTTAGGGCACCCATAGATGTAATACGCTACTCCTGCTTTACGTGTGTTTGATGTATGATGAACAAATAAACTACAAGCTTAAGTTAAGTGCACGCAGTTCTTCCTAGCTTTTGAAGTGTTTGGGAGCGGTCTCCTTGTAATGCCCACGATCCTGTCCTTATATTGAGTTTGTGGCCCTTTAAGTAAAAAAAGTAAATGTCGTTGCTCCTGTGTTCGCCTTAGAGCTTGCCCAGAGTGGCAAGTAAATCATTGCCTAAATCCTCAGTATCTCCGGTCAAGAGATACACCTGATCGTGGACGTTGTTCTGAGCTCAAAACGTCAGCGTATGGTAGCTAGCGGAGAGTGCAACTTTTGTCATGGTGCCAGAACCATAGTAAAAAAGGTGGCTCTATGTAGTTGTGTCAGTCTGATGAGTTGCCCCCTCTTATCGCGTGGGGAAATGCGATATCGTCCTGCAAAGCCCCATCATTAACCTAGAATACGTAGCCTGTCGCGGGCTACAGTTTCTCCTGCTTGACACGAAATGCGTTATAGGCTGTTAGACTTTGTAGCGTAGCCCAACTGTGTAATCTGTATATTGTGTAACCTTATAAATATATGTGATAGCCACCCCTAGAGGGTTGAGCCAATTCCCATAAATCCTACGTTTAACATGGTATCAGCCTAAACCTAGGACCTACGACAACTCTACCTCAACCGCCGCTGCTGCCGTGCCCCAAACCCTAGGGCTGCTGCCGCCGCAGCTACCATGACCGCTTCCGCCTCCGGTTCCGCCAGCTCCAGGGCCATCCCCGCGACGCTGGCCGCCCTTCTCAACCTTCCCGCCCACGGTGGTGCGACGCCGCGGCCCCAAGTCTTCGGCACCATCGCCGTTGGTTCGTTGTTCTCGGCTCCGATCCCGCCGTCTCCCGCGCCGTCGACGATGGCGTTCTCCACCGCCGCGATGCTGGCGCCACCTGCGGCCACTGCTGGCTCGTCCCCGACACTCGCCATTATGTCGGCGACCTCGGGGGCCTCCCATGATCAGCCCGCGGGTGTGGCACCCGAAGCCCCTGCGGCTCCCGTTGTTGCTACCACCGACGCCGCCATGATCTCCGGCACGTTCCACTTCGACAACCTCATCACGACTCGCCTCACGCCGGACAACTATTTGTTTTGGCGCGCCAAGGTTCTACCGCTGCTCCGCAGCCGCTCCCTCCTTGGCTACGTTGATGGCTCTCTGCCGTGTCCGCCGCAGGTTATTCCCACCGTCCATGGCCCAGCCATCAACCCGACGCACCGTGTGTGGGTGCAGCAAGACCAAGCGATCCTCTCCGCCATCCAGGGTTCCCTCGACGACGGGGTTGCTGGTCTTTGCCTCTTTGCTGCCTCCTCCTTGGATGCGTGGACGACTTTGGAGCATGCATTTGCACAGACCTCCACCGCCCACTCCATGGCTCTTCGCAGCAAGCTTGATGATATCAAGAAACTGGACTCATCTGTCACAACATACTTTAACAAAATCAAGGTCTTGGCGGATACATTGACCTCTATCGGTCGACCGCTGAGTGACGAGGAGTTCACCGGCTACGTTATTAAGGGTCTCGATGCCGACTACGACAACCTTGCCGAGGCCGTCCACAACGCCAAGCCGCCGCTTCCTCCGCACGAGCTCTTCTCTCGTTTGCTCTTCACCGAGCAACGCATCGAAGCTCGCCGCTCCGTTACCACCATCGCCGACCAGCTAGCGGCCTTTTGGGCATCGCGTGGCTAGCGCCCCCCTGCGCCTTCGTCGCATGCCCGGGTCGCCAACCCCCCTGCGCCATCCTCGGGTGGCGGCCCGTGCGGTGCCAGCTCTGCGGGCGTTGTCGTGGTTCTAACTCTGACAGTGATGTAGGGGGGTAAGTATGGAGAGGCGAGGTCTTAGCTATGGAGAGGTTGTAAGGACGCAAGGTTTACGAGTTCAGGCCCTTCTTGGAAGAAGTAAAATCCCTACGTCTCAGAGCCCGGAGGCGGTCGACTGGATTATGTGTGTATGAGTTACAGAGGTGCGAACCCTTGTCTCGGAGGAGGGGGTGGCTTATATAGAGTGCGCCAGGACCCCGGCCAACCCACGTTACGAAGGGTTCAATGTACATTAAGGTAGGGCGTTACTGATAACGCTAGTAATAAAGTGCTATGATGATCATAAAAGCTACTTAATGACCGACCGTTAGCGTGTGGAGTGACTTTAGGTCTCCTGGCCGTCGAGTGGTTGGATCTTGGTCGAGTAATTGCTTCTTGGTCGAATGTCTTCGAGTCTGTCGAGTGGAACACCTCCAAGTCGATTGAAAGGTGATTTATTCTAGAGGTGTCCTTGGGTAGGGCAGTTAGGACAGGTCCGTGACCCTACCCTAGGTACATAGCTTCATCATTAGCCCCCGAATGGATCGAGGTTTGAGTGGGGAAGGAGTTGAGGACTTCTCCGACTCGTTTTCTATGTCGTGAGCATATCTTGTTTCGGATCAACGGACCTGAGTGATGACAGCAACTCCCTTTTCAGTCGCCTTGATCCATTCTTAATTCTTCGCCGAGTGAGTTTCTTTACTTGTAAGGCTCCGAGTGACGGTGCGGAGGAGATCTTTGGTCTGACAAGTTATTTGCTGCCCGCGGATTTAGTGGGATCCGAATTTTGGGAAGCGCGCGGGACGGGGGAGGCCACAGTAATCGGACGAGATAGAGCGGAGCCGCCTCGATCCCCGTGCCACCTTTTCACCACGTATCGCTCGTGCGGTCGTTACGGGTTTTGACAGAGCCATCTGGGCCTACCTGTCAGCCACTCGGAAGCGGCCTCATATAAGGCGTTGGACTGGAGTCTCCCGAACAGTGCGCCCCATTATCTCTTCTCCTCCTCACGCCTCTTCTCTGCGCTCGCTCTCGCTCCAGCGCCACCGCGCCACACGCGTCTCATCGGCGACAATGGTGAAGGAGAAGACTGCGGCTCTGGAGCGGGCAAAGAAGGCGACGGCGAGGTCAAAGGGGAAGGCGACGAGCCGGGGCGGATCTTCCTCGCGGACTAGCCTGCCGAAGGGTTGGATCCAGGGCGACTGGATCCACTCGAGGATCTCCCAAGAAGACCTCGATGACCTGGCCGAGGGAGGGCTGATCCCCTACGACTCGGCGTGGCTTCCGGGGAAGGAATCCGAGCCGCAACCCCGGGAGGGTGAGCGCGTTCTTCTTGCCACCCACGTCGACCGTGGGTTTTCCTTACCTCCTCATCCTTTCTTCCGAGGGTTTCTGAACTTCTTTGGGGCTCAACTCCACCATTTTACCCCCAACTCAATCGTTTATCTTGCCGCGTTCATTTCCTTGTGTGAGAACTTCTTGGGTTGTCGACCTCACTGGGGTCTTTTCAAGCATATTTTCACTTGTCGCTCCCAGACAGTGAAAAAGGCTAATCCGAGTGACGAGAGGACCCAAGTGATCCAGATGTGTGGGGGTTTGGCATCCAGACGAGGGGAAAAAGCTCCTTTCCGGCCATGATTCTTCCCGATTCAGTTCGCGGATGGCAGTCGACCTGGTTCTACTGCAAAGACCAGTCGACGCCAGGGCAATCGACTGGCCTCCCTCCCTTTACCATGGACCGAGTGGAAAAACCCTCCCCTTTGAAGGTGCTCCCGGAGGAGAAGGCGCACGTGAAGGTGTTGGTCAACCGAGTGGTCCAGCTCATTCGTGACGGGGTCACTGGTATGGATCTCTTGGAGGTCTTCCTTCAGCGGCGCATCCAGCCTCTCCAAGCCCGAGACCACCCGATGTGGATGTATTCAGGTCTAGAAGACTCCACTCGGATCTACCCGGAGGAGGTCGATGACGACACGCTGGAGAAGTGGCTGTCGAGCATTACCGGGAACAAGGACAATCCCAGAGGAGCCAGGAGAGTTCCCCCATTCAACCAGTCGCGTGCACCAGAGCAGGTCTGATTCTGAGTTTTGCTTGTAATCCGAATTCACTCGCGCAGCTGTCTGTATTGCGTCGACTGACTTTGTTCTCCCTGCTTTCTTTCAGGCCATTACTGAAATGTATTCGATGCCCAACGGGGAGCAAGAGCAAGCTCTGGAAGGCGAGGCAAGTGGTGGAGAAAGTGGCGAGTGGACTTCTGATGGTGAAGGGGATGGTGGAAGTGACGACTCAGGTGATGGGGAAGAAGTCGAGTCGCCTCCTCGCATAGAGAGACGATCCAAGCTTGACCAAGAACGGCCGAGTGCCCGCGACAAGGCAACTGCTCAGGCTGGCCAGTCTTCGAAGCGTCCTCGGGTCTCTTCACCAACCCCGACTGAGAAGGCGCCAAAGCACCCCAAAGTTGCAGAGCCGAAGACTCGGAAGGCGCTGCCAAAGATCAAGATCGATATCCCTGTCGCCTCCGCGTGAGTGTCTCTCCTTGTATTCACTCGACGCTCTGCGTTGTTTGTTTTTCTTGTTTTAACTGGACGAACTTTGGAATTGTTAGCGCTGCCACTTCCGGGACCTCAGCTTACAGGGATGATGATGAGGTGATGGAGGATGCGGTCACTTCTAATCCAGGTATGATTTCCGCCATACTATCTTTCTTTGGTCGATTCAACTATATCGTGCATCATTGGGTGACGTGATTTTGGCAATTTGAACTTTGCACAGCTCCCAACATTATTGACCTCCCTGATGATGATGAAGAGCCCGAGAGGTCTTTGACGAGGAAGAGTAGGAGAGCTCCTGCAAGTGAGGCGCTACAGTCGACGCCGAGGGCGGAACCAGTCATTCAGGACACTGGTGACGTCAATCGGGGTTCTGTTACCTTCGCGGAGCCCCTGTCGAGTGCCTTGCCTTCTTCTTCGACTGCTCAGGCCCCTGTCGACCCGCCTTCAGTTTTTGCGACCCATCATGTCCCAGAGGATGAGGTGAATGCTGCTAGGGAAGCCATATGCCAGGCGGGCATTATGATGGAGAAGATGAAGATGGTGCGGGACGCCAGCCAAGCCGCCTATGATGCCAGCTCGGCTCTCTAGAGCAACGTTTAGGTTAGTCGGCTATCTGAAGATTCTTTCCGAAAATCTTTGCGTCTGTATACCCACTGGGTGCGTCGATTGAAGTTTTGGACTAGTGGAGACTACGGTGGACTGCTGGCAGTCGACTGTAGTCTTTGTATTTTGCCGAATGTATAAACCAAACTGGTAGTTTGTCTCTTCCACTCGACTTCGGCGGGCCGGTCGAGTGGGATCAGAACCGGTGAGGGCACGCTAAGTGCACCCACTGGGTGTAGTCCCCGAGACTATGGTGGACTACTGGCAGTCGACTGTAGTCTGAGTTCTACTTTCTTTCTCTCTTTGTTTTTGAACTCGACTTCGGCGGGCCGATCGAGTGGGATCAGAACCGGTGGGGGCACGCTAAGTGCACCCACTGGGTGTAGTCCCCGAGACTATGGTGGACTGCTGGTAGTCGACCGTAGTCTTAGTATTTATTGCCTTTGTTGTTGTTGTTGTTTTGCTGTAACGATAACTTCTCCCCTTTGATTTCAGAAATCTTACGATCTTGGAGCTCGCTTTGCTGACCTGGAGAAGTAGCAGATTCAACTGAACCTTGATTTGGAGCTGGCCAGGACAGAGCTGCAAAAGGTCAGAGACGGCGCCGTAGGTAAGACGATTTTGTCGACTGGTTAGTTTTTAGGCTTGAGTACCCTTCTGCTATTTCCGAATCAATCATCATTTCTTTGCAGAAAAACTGAGAGAAGCTCTGGCGAAGAAGGATCAGGACTTGGCTGCTGCCCGTAAGGAGGCTGACGACAAGACTGCTCTGGCCGAACAGAAGCTGGCTTCGGTCGGCCAGTTAGAAGAAGAGAATACCAGGCTGAAGACCGCTCTGAATGAAGCCAACAAGGAGTGTACACGTTGGAAGAAGGATAACCTCAACCTGAACGAAAAGATGGAAGGCATCACTCGCGGGAGGGACGATCTAGAGAGCTACTTGAGGAGCCTCGCCAAGAAGTTGTACATCAAGCTTGAAGGTGCACATTCAGTTCCGATTGGTGTTTTTTTGTGTCGACTCAGTGTATGAAAATTGACTTATCCTTGGATCGTGAATGCAGAGTTTTGCCAGAACTTTGAAGAGGAGACTGGGCGGATCGAACCAGGTTTGGATCCAATCAACTCTCCCGTGAAAGATGAAACTGCCATGAATCTGCTCCGACTGGAATCTCGCATCGACAGTGCCGTGGACTACTTGGCTTGACTGAAGGTCGCCATGTCACGGATCGACCCGGCACTTTGGCCAGAGGCTACGCTCCAAAACGATCTCGAGTCTCTGATGACTCGACTTAACGGAATTCCTGACCGAGTGCAGGAGTGGAAGAAGTCTTCTGCTTGGTGTGGCGCTGATGTGGCTCTGTCCTTGGTTCGTGTCCACTGCAAGGAGGTGCGACAAGACAAGCTGGCAGCAATCAAGGTCGCCAACACCCAGAAGCATGACTTCCGAACCTTTATGGAGACTTTCATTGCTGCAGCCACTCGGATAGCCGACGGCGTCGACCTGGATGAGTTCGTCGAGCCTGCCAGCCCTCCTCCCGCGGAGTGAACAAACTCTTATGTCCCACCTTAAATTTGCCTCAGAATGCCGAGTGGTTTTTGTAACCGTTAAACTTTTTCGGGCTGCATGCCCGAGTACTTCGATCTGTGGTCTGGAACCTTTAGAATTTATCTCAACTTGGTTTACCATTGAATATCTTTATGAATCTCCTGCTGAGTGAACCCATTCTTCATTCGAGACAACTTTTGCACTCGCAGCGCAGTTTCAAAGGAGAGGGAAGCAGTCGACCCATGTCTTGTATTTGTGGCGAAGCTCTCCAGGAGAAGGCGGCAGTCGACCCGCCCCTCGTCGTCCTTGAGGATTGAGATGTGTTTCGTACTTAGGCGAGTACTGGACTGCAGCTAAGCCCCCGAGTGGGAGGATCGCTCTCCACTCGGTAGGATTTTTTTTCAAACTTAGGCGAGTGCCGGACTGCAGCTAAGTCTCCTAGTGAGAGAACCTAGGCGAGTACTGGACTGCAGCTAAGCCCCCGAGTGGGAGGATTTCTCTCCACTTGGGAGGATTTTTTTCAAACTTAGGCGAGTGCCTGACTGCAGCTAAGTCTCTAAGTGGGAGGACTTAGGCG